GCTTACTTTTGGGAGATTTGGATGTTCGAATTTTTCTGGGTTAAAAAATTGCAGGGAAACTTTGGAGAAGAAGAAGATGCAGAATTCGGTTTTATAAAACCGAAATTGGTTAATTGGGCCAGAAAAATTGGGCCAAAATTTAATAAAAAATTTCTCCAAAAAGAATAGTTTTAATGGACCTTTGGTCCAATTGCCCAAGCCCAAGCCCAAGTTAGTGTTTCAACTATTGTTGGTGCTGAATAGTTTTTCTTTCATTAAAATCTAAGCTAATGAGAATCAACGTATGGCTCATCGTAATTAATTACAAAAAGGGGAAGCACTCCAACGTTGTCACCCTGCTGCTTCCATCTTTAGTCACTAAAATGACAAATTCTTCGGAGAAACAGAAACAGCAATGGTAGAGGAAACCACAGTCCACTACCTGAGGCCATGATGGTAGGTTCGGTGCGAAACAAAAGAGAAGCAGAGAGTGGTGTAAGGCATACGATTGATTAGGAAATGAAAACGAGTAGCTTATGTGTTACTGCATTTCATAAGGTACCTGTAAAACGTAATGTGAGGGATATTAATTTATTGATTTTTTTTTCTGGTCAATGTTTATCGAGTTTTATACTACTTAGTTCTTGCCCAAGATTCAGTACCTAATTTGTGTTTTGCATGTGGCTTTCATGTTTACTTTGGATTTCGCAGGTTTTCATGTTGTTGATAACTCGAAAATGAGTTGAATTTAGTTTACGGGGGCCTGTCACGCAAGTGTTCAAACCCAATGAACTCGAGAAGGCTCTTGGAAACCATCTTTCTTGGAAGGACAAGTAATGTCTATGAAGCTCGATTCCTAATAAAAGTTTTGAATGGTTTATTGGCTTCCAACCATGGATTTGCGATGGAATCTTCCACAAAAACATAGGGAAACTTTCATSTGAACTTTAAATGTGTGAAATATCCTTCTTTGAACTCTCCATTCATCTCTCTTTCTTTTTTTTGCAAAGCGTTTGGATTACCATGTCTGGTTTCAATGGTTGAACCCTTCAGAGTATATATTAATCCCAAAAAACATAATTGAAACATTACCTTAATATTGTTTTGTAGTTTTATATAAGCACATAAGTATTTCATAGTTTGATGGTGTAATGCTTTTGTGGTTCAAGTAATCAATGCCATTTCTATGTTGAATTTCGTTCCCATTTTGGGTGTAAAAATGTTTGTTAATTGTGCCTCCCGTTGTTAGTTTCTAAAGTTCAGCATTATTCACTGGATTTGCATTAACTTCTCTTATTTATTTGTTTCTTAGGGCATACGGATACAGAGAGATTTGGGTGAGAAACAAAGCAATTAAATAAAATATAAAAAAACGAAGGAGAGAGGGAATGAGAGTATCTCTGTACAGAAACGATGTTTGACAATTGGTTTACAATTTTTTT